GAACCCATGACCACCCCCCCCCAAATCTCACACCCTCTCCCATCCTCCATCTCCGTCTCAGACCTATTTCGCCAGGCGTCCAGATTCGCCACCCTTTGCCGGAGGCTATGGAGCTCGATCGCCACCGGTGCTGACACCAAGCTCATCGCCGGCCCGGCTACCGCCGCCGGCGGCGGCGGCGGCATCGCCTTCACCGGCACCGGTTCCGGAGAGGCGGGCGCCGCGGAGCCCGCGGAGCCGCGTGACGGTGGACCGGTCACGCCTGGCGTTGAACGGTTGGGGTCGCTGTCTCATGGCTGACAGGCGGCTGGAAGCTCACCCAGGGGACATGAGTGGTACATGATGGACATGCTGTGAATAGGGGCTGGGGGAGATGGAGATGCAGCCCACTGTTACTGATTCAAGCTGCTCTTGATCACGGATAGCTTGTCACCAAATGAAGACAAGCCATCCCACATGATCATGTGGATCTTGCGGATCTCTAAACACCTTAAGCTTGTAGTGAAATATAGCAAGCAGCTTTTTTTTACCTTCGATTCAAAAACAAAAAGACCTTAAAAAAGGTGCTGAAGTTCACAGAGCATCACACTCCTATTCGAAGGAACGCCTTGCGCCAAAAATGACTCGAGACATCTCAAGACCCACGGACTTCGTGTCTCCACACGGCTCTCGCCGTCCTTCCCGAACCCGCCCCCCCCCACCCTTCACATCCGGTCCTGCCAGCGGACTCACCTGCTCGAGCAGCAGTGCCAAGTGATCGGGTACTTTGACTCCTCTCTTCTTGAACAAGGTGAAAGCGATGGCCACATTCATGGCCCGTTGCAAGCACTTCTCGTTGCTACCTGCGATCCCATGCACGTCCGTTTAACAAGCCGTTCTCGAGTCGTGCACAGGGCGAAATGCTTCGACCAAAAGATAGACCAGAAATATTGGGCCTTGGAACCCAAGGATGTGTTTTTTCGTTTAATGGACCCTATAGGCTCTGCGAATGGACTTCCAGCTTCCCCATCTTCGGTCACGCAAAAACCGCTGGCTGCGTCCAAAAAGGCGTCACGTGGATGAAGGTCATCTTGAAGACTTCAATCTTCAAGCTCTTACCCTACAAAATCCAGTCGTACCGAACCTCAGGTACGGTGATTGGAGACATTGTTATGTAGGTTTGGAGGGTCCAAGTACCTGCTGAGAAGGTATCACTGGATCCCTAGGGCTTACTTCAAGATACCCCCGCTCCAAGTGTCCATGAGGTTATATACGAGTATGCTACTTCCCAACCGACATGTCGTCCGACGCGAAGTGGATCGAAGCGGGCGAAGTGGACGTTCTTGTAGCTTCGCTTCTGGCCCGGCTCACCAGCGCGAGAAGAAGGGCATCGGACAAAAAAGGCTGCGACGGATCGAGGTCCCTCCCGGTGCCTTCCCGGTGCCTTTCGGAGATGACTTCATGGGATGACTTCATATGGCATATCTGGTTCGGGGAGTTTGAAGGGAGTCAACAGGGTAGTCCATGGTGCTCCGATGTTCGCGGACGCTGGGCATTATAAGGAATTGGCGGCGTTCTAAAGGCATGCTGGGCAGGGGGGAGGCAAAAGGCCGATGGCTCCCACACCGTTCCACCCGCTCCCAAAGCGAGTTCGCAGTGGCCATTGTGGCCTCTGTGGCATCGCTCCACTAAGCTCATGCGGAAAACAGTAGAACCCATGGAACCAACATGCGGACCAAATGTCCCATACAAAAGATACAAAAGATAGGAACCCCGGTGCATGTTGGGTAGGGAGTCTATCCACCTTGGATCAAAAAGGAACCCCGAGGGACCTTCCACTCTATGTTGATCCACCGTTATAGGCCTCACCCTGTTGCAGCACCCTGTCGCCTATTCCGACTGCGCGGGTCAAATGGAAGTGCCCACCGTAGATGGTGCCGACGCGCAGGAAGTCATTTTCCCGGCAGAGACCCTTGTCGAACAGGTAGGAGAATTCCTGGAAACTTAAAGCTGTTTAGTGCAAGTGCGAGAATGTGTGTCAACTGGAAATTCCATGAATGTCCAACAACTGTTGGGGGCAGGTGTGGTTGCTGATGACTAAATGTTTCGATCTGTAGGGTATCTCTACAGCCTCTGAATAATCATACTTCCAAACACCTCACTTTTATGTGGAGAGAGCATGCGCCCAACCTTTCCTTTTTCATCCTCCCCAAAGGCATCCAAAACACCTTCCAACAACGCACCTTGACAACGCGTGTTCTTCAATCTTCGTGTCAGTTCTTCTAATCTTCGTGTCCCCCCCCTTGGTGGTGGTGTGAAAGAGAGTCGCGACTGACTTCGCGTCTTTTTGCGACTTCGTGGTCGTCGTCGCGTCGCGTGTGTTTGAGTGAAACTCGTCATTCCGGTCGTGGCCACCCAGCGACACTGGTCGCATGTTGCTGGTCGAGATCTCTGCGCTGGAAGTCCTTCGGGTTGACTCCACTGGTGGCCTGTGCCTTGAGTCGAGACCATCGGTCTCGACGAGCCGCTGGCAGCCAAGCAAATAAGGATATGGGTTCATATATAGGTATATCTCATCCTTGAAAATTACGTGGTGGACCCATAAAAACAGTTTTTTGTATGTGAAAACCTTGATTTTTCGTGGTTTTGAGGGCCCCTGGTAGTTACTAGTGAGTCAATCATCCCAAAAACGGGCATAGTGAAAATGGGCTGCAGGTGCCAGTGATCGTGGATCAAAGGGTTCTGAGCCGTGAGCCCTTGGACGTCGGAGCCGCTGGACAGCCCCCCATGTGAGTCGCTGGACAAACCTGGAAACCAACTGATGCCCAAATATATCGGCAGTGTCATCTTAAAGCAGGGGTCGGTCAAAGCTGCCGATATGAATATCTTGGGGTCAAAGCTTAAACCATCTCCTTCGAATTCGGCGTCCAAGGCTTGATTTCGAACAACGGACCAAGGCCATCCAAGGCCACCAGGCCTCAAGGCTCAAGCTCGGTTCGGTTCTGCCGTGGTGATCTTCACTCATGGGAGCCGTGGTGAATCCTACGGATCCAGGGGTCGAAAAACGAAGAGCACCGTTCTGGGGTTCAAAACGAGCGCCCCCCCCCCCCCCGATTTAGAGGATCTATTTGGTGGTGAAATCTGTATCACCAGGTGAAATCGACAGGTCTACAATAGATGTTCACCAGGATAACCTTATTGTATCCCCCTATTTTGTGGTGAAATCTGTATCTACAAGTTCATCCTGGTGATATACTTGTATACATTCGTAACACAAGTTAGGCACATCCGATTTTCCATCGGTCTAAAACCGGGGTGAAGGTGTGTTTCTCCGTTTGGGCGGTGTAACCAGATTTCACCAAACTGCTCGCCACATCTGGACGCATCACCAAGTCGCCAGCTGATGGTGTTGTTGAAACACCAAATGGTCCACTTCGCTTTTGCTGCAGCGCACACAGACCACATCTGCTGCGGATGCCGTCATGGCGGGCGAGGGCGGGCGACGGCGCGCGTGCTTGCCAGAAAGAAGACACGGTGACTGCTTGTCGTGCCTTTGTTTGGAGTTGACGTGGTTGCTTTCTATCTATAGTAGGTTTCTACATGTTTCTACCCTGGTGTCGGGATCAAACCAGGCAAGCTGTGAAATGTTGTTTTGCTAAGCTTCTTCTACCTCTGCAAGGGTCACCAACCGCACCGCTTTGTTACTCTTTGTTTTTTGAGGGTCCAGGGTTTCTTCTGAACTAGGTGGGTCAGGCCAGTCACGGTCGAACCGCCACCGTGAACGTTCTGCCCATTCGATCCTCTTAAAGGGTCCCTCAATGAATGAAACATGGTGCCAGAGAACTGACAGGGTGGTTTGACTTCCATGTTTATCTCAATTGGCTATCCTCTGATAAACCTACCTACTATCATGCAAGCACTCGTAAATCAGGCTCTTCACCTTGGAGCCGGGGACTCTGTAAAGCTCTGTAATATCTACTCAATCTATCATCTATCTATCTATTCTGAATCTATCCTCTGTCATCTTTCTTCAACCCTTTGCATCATCGTTCGGCCACCTGAAGCACCACCACCGAAAACCGCGACGCTAGCTACGCGGCCCGAACCGCATGACGAGCGCCCGAACCGCACCGTCTCTCCCTCTCTCGAGCCAAGCAAAGAACGCATCGGAACATCGTCGCCGATGGGATTTGTGGCTTTTTGCTTCGTTCAATCCAAAAAACAGGCACAGCGGGTTTCCTCTCTCAGATGGTGAGTTCAACTCACCATCTATAGCTAGGATGGAAAACAGCTGGGAGCTGAGTCTTCCAACGACCCAAGAAATTCGGGTCGTTTGGGTCTGCTTAAGACCCGGTTTGGATCGAAAGGTCCAGCGAAGTCGCCTCCTTCGCACCTTCCTCGACGACCTTCCGACCCCCCGGACCCGTCGACCTGGACCAAACCTTCGTTGGAAGTCGGATGAACCGACCGCGGTGAAGAAGGAAGTCGCCAGCTGAAGGCGACCGGGGTTCCCCGGGTTTTTGGCTTAACCGCTTTTTGTTCATCATGTGGTGAAACGAAACACTGTGGTGACACTTTACATATATATCGTTCGGAGGTCCTTTATGGAAATCGTTGGGCGGAAACCATGGTTTCACCCCTGAAACCGGGATGTCTGGAGCTGAAGAGCCGAACTATGTTGAATGCTTCGAAGTCCAGAAATCGCTGCCGGGCCGCCTTTCTAGAAAGGCGCTACTCTTCGGGTCTCCCAAAACAGTTGGCTCAGCAAATTGGTCTCGGATGGCTGTGGTGAACCTGCAAACATGTACACCAAATGTACACGGACAAGAGCCAAGTCCAACACATAGAGGGCCCAAAACCTGGCTGGGCAGGCTAGGTCTGGGTGGTGTTGGACACATAATCTCCCTTGCGGTTGTTGACCCGCACCATGCCACCTGGAGCCTGGAGCCCAAGTCTTGCTCACACCCTCACGCCAGCACACCAGATGCCTGCCGCCCCTGCCGCCCCTTACGCTACGCCGCCTGATTCCAGGCACCCTCATAGGAGATCCCACTCACCTCGGAGGCAAGCGCTCGAAGAAAGGCACTGGACGGCTTGCCACGGACGGCATGGAGCGATACCTGAGTGAAGTGATGTGAAAGGTAGCCTGACCCCAAACACGACCTGTCTGGGACTGGCATATTGACCGAGCAGGCCAGGGGTGGTTGAACAGGGGTCAATGCATCGAAATATGCCAGTCCGGAGTCTCAAGGTGATGAAATGCTTTGAGAATTGAAGAGCTTGACACATCCAGTCTGGAGGGGAATGAATAAAAGGACCGGATAACCCCACATGATAAGTTTTACAAGTTTCAAATGTATATGAACATCACTTGGGAGACGGAGTAGTGAGATGAAAAGTCAAGAAGGAAGTGTGAGGAGAGAAGGCATAAGAGGCGGTTATGCTCAGACGTGCAGTATAAGTGATGACGTGATGGACGAGGATGAGAAGGAGGGGAGGGAGGAGGTGTGTGTGTGTGTAACCCTTGGAGTCATAGGGATCCTTCTGGATTTGTTTAGTATTATTGCAGGGGGTGCCAGGGACCATGCAAGTCTGGCACTAACAAAGACGCTTGCATTGGTCTGTGAAATCGATTTGGGACGCCAAATCGACGTACCTGCAATTTTCCATTTTTTCGAATGGCGAGAGGCTAAGCCAAGAACCTCACGACACGGTATTGCTTAGGGATTTGGTTCACTTTCTGCAGATGCGCACGAGCCGCCGTCACCCTGTTCGATTCGCTCGCCGTCTTCGACCTTGAGCTTTTGGCCTTACTTCTTTTTACAAGCCCCCAGGTTCTTTAGGACTTTCCTGGACTTTTCAGGATTTGGGTTCTTAGGCTGGCGTGTGGCACCGCTATCACATCAGTACGCATATCCATGAGTGTGTTTGGCTACGTGCCAACCCGGGATGAGCCCGCAGAGTGCCTCCCGTGGACCCGTCGAACGGGTGTATGTCCAACGTATCCCCTGCCCGGATACAGAGCAGCTCGCAGCGAGCGTAGGTGGCCCAGGCCGTACGTACGATGATTTTGTCCCATCTTTGGAATTCTAAGCTGGCTCATGCCTGAACGTGACCGCAGCGGTCGAAGCAGCCAGCCATTTCGGCAAGGCACAAGGCGACCATAGCGGTCGAAGCCAGTTTCTAGGTTCATTGGAACCTGTTGGAGCCTTAGTCCCCCCTCCTCCCCCTTCCCTTCCCCTTTCTTTCTTTGCTTTCTGGGGTTTTCCTGAATGGAATACTCAGGATCTCCCCTCTCTTTCTTTGGTGTGTCCCTGGACGATTGTTCGTAGCTGGGAACACCTTCCTTTCTCTCCTCTCCCTCTCTCTCTCCCTCTCTCTTTCTTTCCTTCTCTCTTTCCCCTCTTCCTTGGGTGTCCCTGGATGCTTCGTCATAGCTGGGAACCCTTTTCCTCTCTTCCTTTGGTGTGTCCCTGGACGCTTGTGTCGTAGCTGGGAACACCTTCTTCCCCTTTCCTTTGTTCTCTTTCTTTTTCTCTTCTCTCCCTACCCCTCCCTCCCGTCAGGACCTTAGTGTGGGTGGCTACTAGGGGCTCCTAACCTTACTACAGGGACGCTACTTTGGTGCTTCTCGGGGTTCCTGGCCTTACTACTAGGCGCAAGGACGCTCTAGGGTTGAGATGCCTCCCCTCGGGGAGGCGTGTGTGTGTGT